CATAATTTCCTTTTTAAAAATAAAATGACATTGAAAGTAATTTTTTTTGAAACTGAATTTTTTGAGTTGTGACGTTATGGTAGTGCATATAGTACATCTAGTAGATTCTTCTTATACACACATTACTTATGTCTCATTTAGATTACTTACTAAGAATTGTATTTTCTTATTTTTTTCATACACATATTTTTTAAAGATACTACCGAGATAAACACTTAAGTTGATATAAAATTAATCTGTAGATATCATAACTAAATAGAATATACTGTTAGTAAGAGTACTCATAATGAACACCAGCCAAACGACATGTATATAGTAAGTTGAAGAAGTGTGTAGGTGTTTAAAAATGTATCTATACAACACCATTTCCAAAACATACCCTTCAGATTGAATAGGACAATTCATCTTTATCTAGGTTACCCTTTATATAGTTTAAGGCAAACGTTTTTTATTCCAAGTTACTAGTAGGAGAATGGAAAACTATAACAGCTAGAGTTTCCAAATTTTGTTCGATAATAGGTGGATAAGAAATAGAATAGAAAGCTATACATTTTGGAGTCCTCAAATTTCGCCCGAACCACTTTGATATCAATATGAATTTTCAAGACAAATATGGGTGGAATAGAAAAAGGGGGCGTGGTACTTCACATATGAATTAAATACAAAAATGGATATATCGGGGAATCTATTGGAGCTGTAAAGCTCAAATTTTGCATAAACAATTTTGACACGGGAGGTGGCCCCTCCCGTTAGAATTTAAAAAAATCGTATATCGGGGAAAATATTGGAGCTAGATTGCTCAAAATTTTGACATTGGAGTAAAAATATGTTTATTAAATTTGCGGATTGGATCACGGACTAGCAATAGAGGCATGGTACCTCCCATATAAATTAAATGTTTACATCTAGGAAAATATAGGAACTAGAATCCTCAAATGGTGTACGTTAAGAAATCTCAAGTCTTGTAGGTTACCACTTTATCAATTCTTGTTCCACTAGAAACGGTTCCTTTAGAAACGGTTTTACTAGAATCGTTTTTTAGCAAAATGTTTACGATCATTTTAAGAACAGGTTCCCACTTTATGAATTCTATAGCAGGTTCCACTAGAACCTAGCTTAGTTTTAATGTGTTTACTTTGGGCATTGAAATTATAGAATTCAATGTTAACGAAATATTTGTCTATTGGTCGATGAAATATTAAGTTCTGAGCCGTTTGCCGACTAGTAAAATGTAAATATGAAAAATCGTAAAGGGTTTTTTATTTATATTGTTTCAAGGGTAGCGAAGCAAACTGGGTATAGCTAGTTATATATAAATAAAAGTTATAACCTTAATGTGTGTATGTATATATTTTGTCATTCTGTGTAAGAAGTATCCATGTGAGACCCAATAAAGTATATTCATATGTATATATTCTGGGTCCTAATGAAGTTATGAGTGGATTTACTTTTGTCCGTCAGTCCGCCCATCTGTATGTCTGCCTGTGTAAAGCACAGTTTGTTATTGTATATTATGAACCAAAAGTTAAAAATCACCAAAAAGATGTGACCACATTGGACTTTCTTCCAGACGCCACTGCAAATTTAATAAATAAGGATGTAATTGCGCTATTGTAATGTCTAAGGATACGATATGTCGAAAACTTGATGAGATGGAGAAAGAGGTCAGAGGTCATATGCGGATTCAAAGCAGAAAGATAAAGAAAAGACTTTAGTTAAAATAAAATCTCTTATAAATTTACTTTCTGCTATTGATCAGCACTTTTTCGGGTATAAACCATACCTATAAGCTTAGATAAATTTTAATTTATAATTTCTGAGTTGTGACATTTTACTGTTAATTGATCTATAGAAAAAACCTACTTTTAATTAAAATCAATAATAAATATAGATTGCAACGTTCTTACTTTTATTTATTAATGGTGTAGAATAATAATAAAGAAATTAAATCGTTTGGCTTTTCCATGCTTAAAAAGTTGTTATACAGTCGAGTGTCTTCTCCTGATTTTAAAATCAGACATGTTATTTTTTACTTTAATGTGTTTTTAAGTGATAATATGCATTAAGTTTATTTTATTAAATTTATGATGAGTTTATTTACTTTTTGTAAAGATAAAGTTAAGTCAAGATATATTAAACTTTTCTACAAACATTTGTGATTATAAAGATAGTGATAGTATGTATATATCTTTTTATAACTTTTACCGGGTATAGAATAACTGCAGTAACTATTTAATCCATATGACATTTTTAACCCAATTAACTGTTTTAGATAATCCGATTTGATATCCATATATATTCAGTTCATATATATATTCAGATTAGATAGTGATTATAATGTAACTATTTTAAGATGGAAGTACAAAACACGCGTTGAGGCGGCAACGCGTTTTTCCCTTTTCAAACTTTTCGCGCTTTACAAGCCGCAAGTTACACACCACGCATTATTTTGATCTTTCTTTTAATGTTTTTTAAGACTATTACTGTTTTTAAAATCAAAAACTTAAGATTTTGTTTATTTTTTTTATATTTTCTTTTCATTGTTGGTGAAGTTTTATTCTAATCAAAACAAAATACAACCCTGATCAGCTGCGCCTCAAAAGTTGAAAGTTGCTGAACTTTTCGCGGCAGACGCGTTACAAACTACAGTGTGAAACTTGTTAAATGAATATACAGTGTCTCTCATAAGTATTCGAATTTATGTAAACTATGAAAAGAAACCAAATTTAATAATATATTTTGTGTGGAAAATAAATAAATAAATTTGTTATATTGTCTAGATAGTCCTTAGTTTTGATATCACGCCCCTTAAAAATTGGAAACTTTACATTTACTTAAATTAGTTGTGCTTTTTTAAAAAAAGTCCATGAAACTACTTCACAAAAGTATGCGAATTTTTCCTGTATTTCATATTTGATCATATTATACGATACACAAATTTTAGAATCGCATGGTTTTATGCTTAATATGGCTTTAAGGGGTTACTATCAACCGCATGGATATATTTTTGACCCATTTGGTCCACAATTTTGGGGGATTTGTACCCTCTTTTCATTTTTGGCTATATTTGTAATGTTTTCACCCTTTTTCCAGAAATAAAACTAAAATTTAATATTGGAATTTAATAGAACCCATAGGGTATCTAAAAATAATATTTTTTGTTATAAGGATCTGTACTTAAACGTTCCAAGATGTATTTTTGGTATCGTTTTTCAGTTTCTAATTGAATTATCTGGATCATAAGTCCCTTTTCGTACCTCTAGGGACGATATTTTTCGACAAAGTTTTCTAGTGTATATTCATGTACATATTGGCACTAATGTATTTTAAATTTTCAATATATTATAGCGGTATACAACCCCAAAACATGCCTTAACAAAACGTCATCCTATATAGTAGATTTCAGTTTTTACTACTCGTAACTTTCACGCTTATGTTGCCCGTTACAATAACACTGTAAGTCCTAAATTTTGGTTTCAATTTGATCATAGTAAATAATATTTAAACACATATCAACATTTTTGATGTGATCATAATGATATCGTGCCATGCAGCATGGAGTCCAGTGGTATATAAAAATAATGATTTTACTATTTTGAATGGTGTTTCTTCGAGGCATGTTTTGGAGTTGTACACTTTCACAACACATTGAAAACTTAAAATGTATAAAAGCTGATATCTAAAAGAATATATACCAGAAAACTTTTCCCGAAAATAGTTGATCCTAGTATTATAAAAATGGACTTAAGTTCCAATATATTGAATTAGCGAAAGAAGAATGATCCGAATAATTTATCTTGGAACGTTTAAATACAGATTCTTGTAACAAAAGATATTATTTTTAGATACCCCAAAGGGTCTTTTAAGTCCCAATATCAAATTTTTGTTTTATCTCTGGAAAAAAGGAGAAAAATTTACAATTATGGCCAAAAATCGCTATTTTAATGATATTACATGAAAAGAGGGTACAAATTCCGCAAAATTGTGGACCAAATGGGCCAAAAATATATCCTTTCCGTGGATAGTAACCCCTTAAAACAATATTACGCATAAAAACCATTCGATTCTAAAATTTGTGTTGCGTATAATATGATCAAATATGAAATACAGGAAAAATTCGTATACTTTTATGAGGCAATTTCATGGACTTTTTTTTAAAAAAGCACAATTAATTTAAATCAATGCAAATTTTTCAAGTTTTAAAAAGCGTGATATCAAACATAAGGACTATCTAGACAATATAACAAATTAATTTATTTATTTTGCACACAAAATATATTATTAAATTTGGTTTCTTTTTATAGTTTACCCAAATTCGAATAATTATGAGAGACACTGTACACTATGTTGTGTACTTTCCACCTTTAGTTTTCACGCACTGTAATATGATATAGTAACATCTTGATTTGTTTAACCTATTATTGGATATATCTACGTATCTTTAACATATAGAAAGGTCTCTGCAATAAAAAGTAGAACTGCAATTGGGAAACTCAACCAAAACAACTATTTAACTAATAAATTTAATTGTCAACATATTTTTATAGCAGACTGTATAAAACCAATTTTTTGCCCAATTTAATAGTTTCGGACAAATTATTTATTGCTCTGATAGTGCTTAATCTATATAATAAGTATTAGAGTGATTTTAAAACATAATATTATACTCATTGCCCTCCTATACTTTAATGAATTAATCGAGATTTTCATTTTTATTGAAAAACAAATATTTATTTCGATATCGACACGATTTGGAAAAACATGTGTACATGGGCGCTACGCAATGGACCGTGTTAAACAAAAAAATAATAAAAAAAATTACAAAAACACTAGCAACAATAATTTCAACTTCATGTGAATTAAGCTTAATTTGTATTTGCCTTTATTATTATGAATTAAAATATATAATAAAGAGAAAAAACACACATTAAATAAAGGTCACATTTGTTTTGCATCGAATTAAAGGTGTTACAGTTTAAAATGACCTTAACTAGACTTACCTCGAATGACATGGTTCCGCCATTGCCATACTTTTGGAAAATATGTGCCAAATAATGATTGTATTCCGTAGAAGCCTTAACATCCTTTAAATTAACCAACACACAGGTGGTGGCCATTAAAAACCAAACGGTAACACATTTTAATTGTGCCATTTTGTGATTTTATATTTTAAATTTGCTTTTATATCCTTTTTTTCTTTAACTTTATTCTTGAACTTTGTTTTGTTATATTTTTTTTGCAAAACTTTCAAAAATAACTTTTAATATTCGTTTCGTTTTACTTAAAGTAGGAAACTCTAAACAAATGCATAATTTTTTTGCATATAACTAATTTTATTAAAATCAATTAACACAAACTATTTTCGTAACATCACTTTTTTTTAAAAAAATTGATCGTTAAGATTTGATATATTTAATTTTTTTCAATTTCATTTGTTTTACGAGTTATTTATTACTACTGTTATTTTCAACTGCTCATCTGCTTCTACAGCACGCTCGTAATTTAACTTTTTACCGCTTGCTACCTACTAGCTTGCTGATCGCGGTTACTGCCTTTAACTAATTGAGCTCTTTACTTGGATTACCCTCTCTATATGTACAAACGAGTACATTGGCGTATAAATTATTTAAATATACTACATATGTATGTATTATATTCGATTGTTTATTCGCTTCTTTTAGGAAGCTTTATTCGAAAGCTTTTTACTATGTTTTTAACTTAAGAAAAAAGTAACTGATTTCATTATAGGTCTACCAACATCTTTATCTGTAAAGATAGTTAGTTGCTGCTTTTAAGTTTTGTCATTTCTTTTGAAATGGATTAAGAGAATCAGTACTTATACTATATACAGACGTACTTTTTTTTAAAACTTGCCACAATTGGCGTTTTCTTACACTTTAGCATCTTCGCATTCTACAACACCATTTCCAATTGCAATTCATTTTTAAGCGTTTCTTCTTAGTGTTTTATTGATAAATTTTTTTAGTAATTCTATGTAGTAAATTATTCATCGGTATTGGTTGTTCTACTGGGTACCCTCATTAATCTCAAAATATATGTTATAGTTTCCTTGAAAAATTCGCGTTTGATATTGGTTCCAAGAACGTTACATAGCGCTCGAAGTATTCGATATTAGGCGAAAAAAAATTCTAAAGGATTGAGCCGTGCTGATTCCGAATATGACCAGATCAGATTTTCTCCGTCATATATGTTATTTGAGATATCGTATTCTGATATTTAAAAAAACGTAATTTTTCGGCCCTTTTTTAAACGTTATTACTGCGCCAAGACAACTTTATCTATAAAACCTTGTATGCCATCTGAAAGTCCATTCTGTCAACTTTAAAATAAAGTCCTAACATCTGACATATATTACTTCGAGATATCTTCACCTAAATCTTGAAAACTCATGGTTTGCGTTATACTCATGGTATTTATACCCTACACTACTATAGTAAATATTGTTTATAGCGAACAAAAAATATTGTATCCACAACTATCTAAGGATGTTCCAATCGACTCCAAATCACTTTTTGATTTGACTTAACGATGTCTGTCCGTCCGTCAACTTCAACGGATGATATCTCAGAAACTACTGCAGATTTTAAAAACAATTCAAAAGCATTTTCATATTTCAAAAATTTAAAGATTTTGAAAAATTTGAAAAAATACCCAATGTACGATAAAATACATTTTTTGTTATCAAGATTTAGGTGGAGATAACTCGATGAAGAGAGAAGATATTTCAAATGTTAAGTCTCTATTTTAAAGTTTGTAGAATGGACTTTCAGATGGCTTGCAACAGTTTATAAATAAAATTGTTTTAGCGCTGTTATAACGTCTCAAAATGGGCCAAAATTGGAGTTTTTTTTTTCAAAATAGGACATCTCAAATCCAAGATGTAATGCGAAATTCTGAGGTCAGATTCATCACGGCTCAATCATTTAGAAAAGTATACTTTATTCACTGAGTTAATATTTGTCGGCCTGTGTAATCTAAAAAGGACATAACTACGAATAATACTGAAATAGGCCATAATACTGTTAATACATTTCTGATCAATAAGAAATATTTTAGGAAAATTTCATCTCAATATCTCTTCTTTTGGACGCTATCGTGCTAACAACAGACAGACGGGCGAACATAGCTAGATCGTCTTAGAATCTTACTAGGTCCCAGAATATATAAACTTTATAGGGTCTGTGAACAATATTTCGATGTGTTGCACACGGAATGACAAAATCAATATACCCCCATCATTTTTGATGGTGGGTATAAAAAATTAGTAAAAAATTGAGGAAACTAGATAATTCTAGGTAATAGACGTTCCAACACTTCCATAAAATTTCAGTCCCAGATTTATAGTACATATTATTTTATTATAATTGTAATTGGAATATAATCTATAAGATTGATAAATTTTAATTAAAAATGAAATGTTATCAAACAAATGTGTATGATTATTCCAATCAATTTTACAAATAAATTTTATTAAATAATTATATAAATAATATTAAAATTAACAAAAGTTCTTTTAGAAAAAGATACATTTTATAAAATTTTGTCGGGCTTTATTATTATTTACTTCAAAATTTTATTTAAGTATTTGTTAAATGCAAAGCAACTGAAGGTATTCGAAACCGCGGTTTCTTAAAGTAAAAAGGTTATTCGATATTCGAAAAATCAATATTTAGAAAAAACCGTCAGTAGTAAATCAGAAAAAACCGGATGAAAACCCGAGTCTATCACTCTAATATCAAAAAAAGTTGAAATAGTGTATTTTCATTTAACAAGTTGCATATTGTAGTTTGCAACGAAAAGTTCAGCAACTGTCAACTTTTGACGCGTTGGCAGCTGATCAGGGTTGTATTTTTTTGTTGAGAATAAGAATAAAATAAAATTAAATAAATTTCTCCAACAATTGAAGTAAAATATTAAAAATATATACAAAACTTAAAATTTTGATTTTTAAAACAGTCTTAAACAAGTAAGAGTGTTATATTCGGCTATGCCGAATCTTATATACCCACCATCACACCTCGTTTGAGTCGAATGAAACTTACTTATGTCGAATTTCATCTATATACTCGTATATTTAGGCCAGTTATAAGCGTTAAAGTAATTTTCTGAAGAGGACCTTATATAGGGGGTAGGGTCAATTATGGGTCGATTCTCATAAAATTTGGTAGACAGAATTTGGTTTGTATTAAATTTGTTTGTGTCGAATTTCATCGCTACACTCGTATTTTTAAACCATTAATGAGCGTTGCAGTCATTTTCTGAAGGGGACCTTATATGGGGGGTAGGGTCAATCATGGACAGATCCTCATGAATTTTTTAGATAGATTTTGACTCGTATGAAACTTACTTATGTTGAATTTCATCTATATACTAGTATTTTTAAGCCAGTAGTGAGCGTTAAAGTCATTTTCTAAAGGGGACCTTATATGGGGGGTAGGGTCAATTATGGACCGATACTCATACAATTTTGCATAGTGATTTTGGATCATAAGGAACTTACTTATGTCGAATTTCATCGCTATATTTGTATTTTTAAACAAGATATGGCTGTTAAAGCTGCTTTTCGAGGGGCCACTTGTATGGGGGCTATCCGAAAACGTGGACCGATATTGCCCATTTTCAATACCAAACAAACCTTACCTATAAAAAATATTTATGTGAAATTTCAACCCTCTAGCTCTTTCCATTCGGACTCTATCGTGCTTTCAACAGACAGACGGACGGACGGACAGACATGGCTAGATCGTCTTAGAATTTAATGAGGACCCAGAATATATATACTTTTGTGGGTCTATGACCAATATTTCGATGTGTTACAAACGGAATGACAAAATCAATATACCCCCCATCTTTTTTGATGGTGGGTATAAAATCATTAAAAAAAGATCAAAATGATGCGTGGTGTGTAACTTGCCGCTTATAAAGCGTGAAACGCGTTGCCGCCTCAACGCGTGTTGTGTACTTCTACCTTAAGATGATCTATCTAGACCCTGTTGAAAGCATGATAGCATCTGAACGAACTCAAAAAAAAAACCTATTTCGAAATTTAGCCAAATATTCATATTTTTAGAGAATTTTCAGTTCTTTTTAATGGAGAATCTAAAAGTACCCTTTTGAAGCACAAAAAGTACCAAAACTGCATTGCGAATATTAAGGTTCTTGTTTCTATGTTCCTTCCTACAGTTTCTCAGATCTTTGCATTTTAAATTTTAAGTTTTCAGGTTCAATATTATAGAAAATTTAAAAAGTGCAATTTAAAGAACAAAGAGCTATTTAAAAGTCTCCCGTTGTAGACTCTCGTTGAGTAGGGACCTTTTAATTTTATGTGTTTGGGTCCTCATAACGGAAAATTCACAAAAGAAGAACGTGGTAGTACCAAAAAATTCTCTTTTTTAGATTTTCATTCAATCAGGCCCCTACATTTTATAATTATACATAAAAGTTGTAAGGGGAAAAAAGCTACAAAAATCAACTATCTTATTTCCGTATAAACCTAATTTATGATAATTTTATATCGCAATCATCAATTTACAATGAAGTGTTTTACGAATACATAAATTTCTCTAAAATATAAATCTGGTCACCCACAACTCTTTAAAAGCTTTATTTAAATTTGTAAAACTTTGTATGTAAATGTTTTTCTTGCTGTAAGGAAATCTTATAAAACAAATACTATTTGCATGTTTTTCACTAAAAAGGTTAGTTCAAGTTAATTCCTGTTTATTTAAAGATAAAAGAATGAAAGTAAATATCGGTCATTTACTACAAGACTGGCATAATCCAAAAAAAGTAATTTCGAGAAAAATTGTTTTGAATGTTTAATGACATTTTACTATTTTTTAAATAAATAAAATTAAACCATATAAACAATTTAAATTTTTATTAGATTTATTCTAAACCGATTTATCGTATATAAATAGTAATATATTCATATTTAATATTTTTTAATGGTTTATAGAGTAATGTACATTGATTTACTGTAAATTGTCTTATGGTAAATTTTAGACCGATCTTGCTAAGATTTTACAAAGATTTTGGTTTCAATAAAACTTGTTATGTCGAATACCAATGCTTTCTTATATGAAGGCTTTGATTCAATATGGCCCGATGCTCATAATATTTGACAGAAAGATTTTAGATCCTATAAAACTAGTTAATGACTAATTCTATCGATATACTGGTATTTATAAGCCAGTTATGGCCGTTAATGTCATTCTATGAGAAGGACCATTTATAGGAGATAGGGTCAATTATGGACCAATCCCCAAAAAAGATTGACAGTTAGAATTATTTTCCTATAAAACTTGTTTATGTACTATTTTGAAACAAGTTATGGCGTTATATTTATTTTATGAAGGGACCTTATAAGGGGGTGGGATCAATCGTGATACGATCCTTATAAAATTTTACTTACATAGATATTTTAGTTTCTCTAAAACATGTTTATGTCGAATTTCGTTGCTTTACTATCCGTTAATGTTGAGGCATGAGAGATAAAGCCATTTTATGAGGTGGGAGTAGAATCAATTATGAACCGATCCTCTTAATATTTTGCAGTT